CTGCTGGATTTTTTGCAGAAGCAGACTAAATTATAATTACTCATTCTACCTATTGGAACCATAGTACCAAGAAAACGAATTGAAATTTATAAGCGAGCAGTTATAAATACCGCAAGAGCGCAGAAACTGCGCGCTTAGAACTTTCAAAACAAAGAGAGCGAGAGAGCGGGAACGTAATTTAGTTAAAGTGCATGCAAACGCAACACTAAAAACAACCCGACTATACGACTTACGACGAACAACGCACAAAAGAAAAACGGCGGGGTTGCAAGAAAAGAAAAGACAGAACAGAATTACGAAATTAAGCCGTCGTCGCATGCAGATGTGTATTTATTGTGCCCCGGGAAAAACTATACAATGAAATCATAAAAGTGCACTGACTGGTTTAATAAATCTACTATAACGCCAATAGACGCTTTCTGAAAAGCTCGAACCAGAAAATAAGCACCTAAAGAAATACGAAGTGCACCCTATAGACAATCTTCAGTTCCTGCTGCACCGCAGAATTACAGTTGAGGAACCGCACAAAGGCAATGGCCCGGTACAATGTGCGAACTGCCAAGAATATGGCCCTACAAGTTCATACTGTAAACTGCGCCCGGTGAGTGGTTTGTGGAGAACTTCATGACTCCGCACACTGCCCAGCGAGCAAAGAAGACTGCAACTCGAAAGAGTGCGGCAACTGCGGTGGCAATCACACTGCTAACTACAGAGGCTGCCCAGTTTATAAGGAGCTGAAAAGTCACATCCACAAGAGAGTAACTACTGCCCGCACAAGTCTGATAAAAATGTGACATACGCAAGTTCTTTAAGATCAGGACTGGCTAACCCTGTCTCAAAAAGTTAATTTCTGCAATCAGCATACCAAGAACCGAACACGGCTCAGCAGCAACAATCGCCAGAGCAACCAAAAAGCAACTTTGAAGCTATGATATGTAGCATTCAACAAAGCCTTACGGAGTTTATGTCGTTTATGCCCACAACTGTGCAAGAAATGTCACAAAATCTATTGATTCACATGCTGGCTTCACAAAAATCCAAATAATGACTTCCCTAAGGATATCTACGTGGAACGCTAACGCCGTTTCACAGCATAAACCTGAGTTAGCTCAATTCCTACTCGACAACCATATCGACGTAATGCTGCTTTCAGAAACACACCTTACAAACAAATACAATTTTCAACTACGAGACTATTCATTCTACGGAACAAATTATTCAGATGGTAAAGCACATGGTGGGACTAGAATTCTAATCAGAAGCCGTATTAAGCAAATCTATCTACAGGCCACATCTATAAATATACAAAATAAATACTGGCAACCAACTTACACTTATACTGCCCTCCTCGCTTCACTATAGCTGAATATGAGTTTATGCAGTTTTTCAACTCACTAGGTGACCACTTCATAGCAGCAGGAGACTACAATGCCAAGCACACACACTGGGGATCACGTCTCATGACTTCAAAAGGAAAGCAGTTCTATAATGCAATTATAAAAGCCAAGAACAAGCTGGACTATGTTTCTCCTGGCAGACCAACATACTGGCCGGCAGACCCAAAGAAACTACCCGATTTAATAGACTTTGCAATTACAATTAAAAACATTCTCCATCTGCCAGGCAACGCTTAAAACATGCCTCACGTCAACTCACTAAAGCTTTACAGCAAGAAGAAGCATATGGTCACCTACGCTACATAGAACAATTGTGAACATCTAGTATAAAACACTCACAATAGAGAGCTCACCCAACTCTAAGCTCACCGAAAGTAGACAGAGCCAGCACGTTTGCCAACCACCTTAAAAATATCTTCCAACCAAATCCTGCCACTAGTGCTTTCACTTTGCCGACTTTACCATATGAGCCTCAGCTTCAACATGAGCCAATTGAGTTTCGCCCAAACGAAATCGTTAACATCATCATAACTCCCAAAATGATCATTGAGCTCCCATATTGCACCGTTTGCACTGTCACCCAGCTTTTTAATGCCATCGCAAAGCTTCGCCACTTTCCAGTGAGATGAAAAAAGTCGATTATAATAATGATAGCAAAGCCGGGAAAAGACCACACAATCCCCACGTCAGATAGACGTTGGCGTGGGCCAACATTATATGTCCTCTACACAGCAGACATCCTAACAAGCACACGACTAACAACATCTACGTTTGCTGATGATACAGCCATTTTCAGCCGCTCAAAATGCCCGATGCAAGCAACTGCGTAGCTCGCTCTTCATCTGGTCGATGTAGAAAAGTGGCTTTCAGATTGGCAAATTAAAGTGAACGAACAAAAATGCAAGCACGTTACGTTCACCCTGAACAGGCAAAACTGCCCGCCGCTCATGTTAAACCATACTCTACTCCCGCAAGCAAACGAAGTGACATATCTAGGAGTACACCTCGACAGAAGACTCACATGGCGCCGGCACATTGAAGCCAAAAGAACACACCTAAAGCTAAAAGCCAGTAGCCTTCATTGGCTTATCAAGGCTCGGTCTCCCCTTAGCCTTGAATACAAAGTCCTGCTGTATAACTCGGTACTAAAACCTATATGGATGTACGGCTCTCAGCTATGGGGGAATGCCAGCAATAGCAATATTGACATAGTCCAGCGAGCTCAATCGAAGATCTTGAGAACAATCACCGGGGCACCGTGGTACGTTCGCATCGAAAACATACATCGCGACTTAAACATTCTACCAGTCAAAGAAGTGATCGCAGAACAGAAGAAAAAGTACTTTACAAAGCTTCCGTTGCACCCTAACCACCTGGCGAGAGATCTTACAAGGTTGATCAACCAATCACGCCTTCGTCGTAATGACTTACCCACCCAGCGGCCGACTTGAAGGACGCGCAACCAGAATGCAGTCTTATTATACTGTTAGTTAAATTTTAATGTTAAGATTCGTAAACTTATTGTTAGTCTCAAAATTAAGAGAAGATTTAATAAATAAGAGCAAAGTTTACAAAAAAAAAAAAAAATTACGAAATTAAAACAATTTTTAGGTATAAGCTTGAGCACAAAGATTTATAGTTCACTTGCAAAGGTTGGTTTACACTTCAGTGGCACTACGGACTCTGTTGGATCCAACTAATAGATACAGAAAGTCAACAATATATATTCAACGTTAGTAATGTTTGTAAAAATTGGTATAAAAAGAGCATGTTAGTCAAGAAACACAATAAATAAATACAAAACAACAAAGGAAAGCTAACTTCGGGCGGAGCCGAAGTTGATATACCCTTGCAGAATACTCTGTAAATTATATTCTCCAAAATTATTCATATGATGCATTCTTAATACTCATAAAAAATCCCAACTTTCTAACTTTAAAAACACCAAAGTTATGGCATTTCCAATCGTTCAGTTATATGGCAGCTATAGGATATAGTTGGCCGATCCTTATAAAATTTGGTAGGACGGATTGATTGGTCAAATATAAAACCCATAGGAAATATCAGATTCCTAACTTTACAAACACCAAAGTTATGGCATTTCCGATAAATCAGTTATATGGCAGCTATAGGATATAGTCGGCCGATCCTTATGAAATTTGGTAGGTCGGATTGACTAACCAAATATAAGACCCATAGAAAATCCCAGCTTCCTAGCTTTACAAACATCAAAGTTATGGCATTTCAGATCAATCAGTTATATGACAGCTATAGGATATAGTCGGCCGATCCCGTTCCGACATATATACTGCGTGCAAAGGAAAGAAGGGCGTGTGCAAAGTTTCAGTTCGATATCTTTAAAACTGAGAGACTAGTTTGCATAGAAACAGACAGACGGACAGACGGACATGGCTATATCAACTCAGGAAGTGATCCTGATCAAGAATATATATACTTTATAGGGTCGGATTTGTCTCCTTTACTGCGTTGCACACTTTTGACCAAAATTATAATACCCTCTGCAAGGGTATAAAAAATAGGCGCCGTTTTGATCGATAATGTGTTCACATTTAGACGGCCACTTCAGAATACCCCCTCGTAAAAACTTCCCTACTTATTTGCGAAAAACTCTGACAGCCACTTTTCACAACCCTCTTTTGAGCCTAACTTTACACCAGTAAGGGCATTCGCCATGGACAGGAACACTTGGCGCTATGTCCGGGCTATATGGTGGATGCGATAAAATCTCCCATCCGAGCTCCCGTACCTTTTGACGAGTCATCAAAGAAGTGTGTGGTCTGGTGAAACACTACACCCTTCCTGTTGGCCAATTCTGGTCGCTTCTGGTCGATCGCCAGCTTCAAGCGGTCCAGTTGTTCGCAGTAGATGGTAGAATTAAGCGGCTGACCATATGGGAGCAACTCATAGTGTATGATTCCCTTCCAATCCCACATAACGCACAGCAAAACTTTCCTGGCTGTCAATTCCGACTTGGCCACTGTTATGGACGATTCACCGGCCTTCAACCATGACTGTTTTCGCTTGATATTGTCGTATGTGATTCATTTTTCGGCGCCAGTCACAAGCCGCTTTAAAAATGGGTCGAGTTCATTCCGTTTGAGCAGCAGGCGTTGATTATGTCCAACCGGTTTTTTTGCGTCAAATCATGCGGCACCCAAACATCCATTTTTTTTTGTTTTCCAGCCTTCTGCAGATTGTTTAAAATGGTTTGGTGACTAACTCCTATCTCCTCGGCGATGTCATGAGATCTCACATGCCGGTATAGCTCGATATTTCCCATGATTTGATCGGTATTCGTCGGGCTGGCTTATCCATGGTGTCGTTTTCACCGGCTCTTAATAGTCGAAATCATTACTCCGCGGTTCGAAGTGATAGAGTACCATCCCCTAAAACACCATTAATCTCACGGAATGTTTCTCTAGCGGATTTACCTTTTACGACGGAAAACTTTAAAACAGCGCGAATTTCGGCGTTAGCGAACTCCATGTTTACACATGTATACCTAATACACATAACCAAACTTGTTATGAATCGTCGTTTTGTAGGTTATGTCAAGACCTCACATCAACAGCAAAGCACAGATTTAGGTGTTTTTTCTTCTTTATTTACAGTAGTTTTACGAAGTTCAAATCTTACAGATTTCATTTCTGTACTAATTAAATTTATTTTTAAAGACCGAATATGTATATTTACTGAACTCAAAATGTTTCTTCTTGTTAAGGAAATGAACGTTGTTTAAATAATATGGACTTTACAAATTTGAATTTGTAAATTTTTGGACATCTATGTAAATGTTTCGATTACAAAGCATTTCCGTACTATTTAAATCAAGAAGAGCGGAAGAATTGATAAAATCTTAAATTATAAATAAATAAATCGATTTGGCTTCTTATTGTGATCAAGAATTTTTAAACAATATTTAAATACCCCTTAGACCTGACAGTCAGGCCAGATACAGGATACCGATTATTATGAAACTCTGTTAAAGTTGTTGTACTTACACTTATTAAGCAAGCAAATGTTTATAATAACACGTATTAATGTTAGTAAGACCGCTACTTAAAATTAAATATTGAACTTTATGAGTTTTGATTAAAAGTGTTTATTTTAATTGTCACTTAATTTGTAAGGTATTACGGTAAAGCAATTAGTATTTATTGTATTTGAGTTTTTCGGAAAATTTTAGTTTGTTTGGTTTAAAAATGCACTTAAAATGAAAATTATTAATTTTTAGCGCTTCTTATATATTTTCCTACACAATTTATGGGCTTTTATGTATTGAAAATTAGTACTACCAATTGCTGAGAAAATCAAAACCCTTAGGGATTTCCAATTCTGGTGTTATAAGTTTAGCATTTTCATTATAACGAAGATCTTTAAACTCATTTTCATTATCCGACAAGTCGTTTGGCATACTGCTTTGTGATGCAACCCTAACCAGCAGTTGCAGTTCTTCATTCGAGTCAAAACATTCCTCGGTATTATACACACATTTACTTTTTTGGTCGTTTATTCGATTGAAAATTATTTTTTTACTTTGGTTAACCTCGGCTTTTTCATAATCATGAACATGGAGACTGGGTATTTTTGGGTTGTGTGAATCGTTCGTCCTTAAACTTAAATAATGGGATTTTGTTACATCATTGGGAGCTCCGAGAACAGAAACGTCTTCAAATTCTTTTGACGGTATGTTTATTTGAGATTTAGTTCGATAACTAAATGGAAATGAATGTTCATCTCGACAATCTCTGGTATTTTCGTCATGTAGTATTTTTAACCCAACATTTTGGTAAGTATACGTGTACAGGTCTTTCTCGTTATATAAATATACAGCGTCACTACATCCAAGTTGTTGGTAATCATTTTTAAAATTTTCTGCTTTTATTCGTCGTTTTTTTTCCTCGATCCCATTATAGTACTTAGTATATATATCTGGATTTATTAATTGATTATTTAATATATTTTCCTGTTCATTTAAAGTCAATGTCAGCCAGGCATCTTGACTGTATGCAGCTTTCACTTTATTTACATCGCGCGTAATCTTTTCAGAAAGGGAATTAAGTTTTGAAAGGTACCCATGTATTCCTTCATGTGTTGCCATCCTTAATCTGAAACAATAAACAATATAATTTACATACATATAACGTTTATGAATGTATATACAAAAATATAAATGCACACCTTTCAATAAATATCATACTGAAAAAGTTGTATCATTAAAATTTAAATTTGGTTTTTTATTATAAGCTATAAAGTCATACCAATTATTAATTGTAGAATGCAATGCCTTCATGAAAAAAGCACGGTACAGTCCTTTTTTGTATGAGTTTATAGTTAATCAAGAATAATAAAAAATTCAATGGTTAAATGGGTTGCAAAATTAAATTAAAAAAATTCAAATGGGTTTGCTTAACACCAATCTTTAAATCTTAAATGATTAAACTTTTAATTGATATTTAACGTTTCTAATCAATAAGTTAATTTACATAAGATTTAATTTTATGAATTTTCCTGTTTGTATATTTTTTTTACAGATATTTTTTTTCGGACTTTAATGAAAAATAAAACAAAATACTTATACTAATTTTGTGCTAAATAAGATAAAATAAATGCTTTTGAAATTGGCAAGAGTCGGCAGTAGAGTTAACATGGTATTATTATAGTCATTACACAGTACTCTAAAAGGATCATGCATATCATAGTTAGATCTACAATGATTTGAAGTCCTGGTAATTAAATAATAATAAGTTATTTTGCATAAACTCTACCCGGTATATATGTACACCATACTGAGGACTCCAAACTGGTGTACAGTACTACAGGATTGGACGAGCTTTGTAACCAGGATGAACAGAGTCTTTGTAGCCTTTGACCACCTTTTGATAAATCCAATCACTCCCCTTACTTTATTCACCATGGAATATGGTCACAAAACTTAAGTTTAGGGTCAAGAATGACGCCATGCTTGATACTAGACTGCGCCCAACCACCCAGCCTTTATATGGCATATTGTTGGTGCACCCGAAAAATGTCATTATCTTACAACTATCGCTATATAAATCCAACATATTTTCACAACACAATGTTTAAAAAGCATTTAGGTCCGATTGTAAGTCTGAACTGCAGAAAATTGTATATTGCAGGCAAAACTTAACGTCATCTGCGTACATGAGGACTCGCGACTTTGTCAGGACTAGACGGAGATCCTTAATAAATAATGTGAAAGGGAGTGGGCCAAGGGTGCTTCCTTGTGCGACGCCTGAAGTAACTCGGATAAAATTAGAAGTAGAGCTTTTAAAGAGTACTCGTTGAGTTCTACCACTTATATAACTTAAGATCCATGTTAGAAGATAACATGAAAACCCTAATAACTCTAGTTTTATTACAAGAATCGAGTGATTTACAGAATCAAAGGATTTACTAAAATCAGTGTACAGTCTGAGTGTTTTTTCTGAAGCCATTTATTACAAAAGACGTTATCTCCAAATGGTTTGTCGTCGTAGATCTTCGCTTTATAAGTCAATGTTGACATGGAGATATATTTGATCTACAAAGATGTTTCAAGTGGGGTGTGATAACGTTTTCGAAAAGCTTTGGGATAGCCGACAACTTGGATCTACCTCTGTAATTACTTGTACATATTCGATTTGTTTCCTTTCTTATGAAGAGGAATAACAAATGATTCCTTCCAAATAAGTGGAAAGTGAGAAGTTTCCAAAGATAAGGTAAACAATTTGTGCAGAGGTCTACACAGGGTTTCAGCGCGGTATCTAAGCATGCAGCCTGGAACTCCTTCGGGACCCGGTGAATAAACTGGTTTAACTTTATGGAAGTCCAAGAGAAGGCAGCTTTCGCTTAGACTCGGACAAAAAATTAAGTTTGACTTGGCATATGATTAAGACGGATTTAGACGGGATGAAACAGAATATGTTGTCTGGAAAAACTTGCCAAATAGATCGGCCATTGCCTGATTTTGGTGCAGTGTGCATGAATAATGTTCGGACCAGTCATAGCCGGATATAAAAGTATTTAGACGATGAAAGTTTGCCTTACGAAAGCAGAGAATTCGTTTAACAGACTTAACAGACTTTTCGGATTTTTTTATTCAGCTCTGTTCTTGCTTCTACAGTCAGCTCTTGAGTTATAATGATAGGGATCTTCTACATCGGGTCCAGGAACTTTGGGTAATAAATAATTTTTTCCCCTATCTAAGTACCATTTGAGCGCCACAAGACGGTCCGTATTTTAACGGCAGTTGCCACTCCTCTTATCGATGGCACCGCGAACCAGACCAGAATAGCCAAGACACTTTGCATGATAAATTTTATCACATGTATGACAGGGAATACTCTGCTGTCCAGCCGAGTTGCAGTTTTTTAATGAAACTATCAGAAACTATTATCAACTAGCAACTATAGCGGACTAAAAATCAAAGAGCTCAGAACTTTATGATGAGAGAGAAAAAAAAGTGACAGAGCGGGAGGGAAACACCAATTAACTTTGATGTTAGGCACCTCGAAACCAGATAGAATGAAAAAGAAAGAGTGCGGGAGCGTAACACCAATTAATTCCGATATCAGACACATCTGAGCGGGATAGACAGAGAAAGTGATAGGTCGGGAGCGTAACAACGTTAAGTTTCGCCGTTCCAACAAGTCCGCAATGATGTTCAGAAAGGTTGAGAGAGATATTACAGTTGGAGTGCGTGGAAAAAGTCTTCTTTCTGTTGCAGGTAGAATTTAAATCAAAGAACTATATCAAATAGCTCCCATTAGAACAAAGGGGAAATAAAATCATAACTTGTTGTTTCTTAACATATCTAAATTCAATACGAGATTTTTATCTTTTTTGTTGCAAATTTTACGCCGTTTTTACCTCTCTGAGAGGTATTTTTATTTAATTGTATTTTTTTTTGTATTTTTTCTGTGCCTTAGGAACAACGATTGGTGTTATTATTCCAAATTATTCGCATATGTAAAGAGTACAAGGTCCCAACCACACGGCCCAACTTATGGTGTCAACGAGTTAAGGGGGATGTATAGTATTTAATTTTTGTTGTCTGCATTTTTGTTTCTGATTGCACAACATTTCATGAATATTGTGTTAAAATTTTAGATTGATCCGAGTAAAACTTCCGAAGTTATGGGCAAGCTAGCGCGTTTTATATTCGATTTTTGGGTGTCCAAATAAAGCTTTCGTTCGCTCTCGCGAATTCGCCCCGTCTCCCGCCCCCTTAGCTAAGCATAGCTCTAAGAGATGTTTGTTGGAACTTACAATGCAGTGATCGAATCCGATCATCACCACACTCCTTTTCGTCGTCCCTAAATTTTGCAAATAAAAATTCGTCGCTTATCCCATCTAAGTCGCGTTTTTGTTTATACAAAATAGTATTAAACTTTCCACCGTTAAAGGGCCTTTCCTACAAATTTCGATTTTAAACTGTTAAACAACAAAGCCAGTTGATTGACAGTAAGACCGCAGATCACAACGCCTCTACAGACCATAGACGTCTTCCCAATTGAAAATCGTTGGGCCCACCTCAAGCTAAAATCCAGGATCATAAGAATTCCTCCAAAAACATTCTTAAAAAGATTTTCCTTAAGGAATGTGTTGAGAGCGAAACTAAATTGTTTTTACAGCAGCCCACACCACTCACTCGAAAGCACAGACGGATAGCAGTAAACTATGTATTGAAAATTATCTTTATTTAAATTTCAGCTTCCGAATCGATGTGAATTACAGTTTGCGTTGCGGAGCACGCTTAAAAACTTTGTCTTTTCTCCTTCTCTTATTTCGCTTATGTCCGATTGAGATGGTTCTTAACAACGTAAAATGAGATCGATATTCCTTACAGCGATATCTCGATGTTTATATCGAGTGCTTATATATAACAAAAAGAAATCAAAATTAAATTTAAATTATGGCGGCAACATTCCCCCTCCTGTAATTGATCCTAGGGTGGTCAGTTACCATCTTCTAAGCCGACATCTAGAACCGCAATCTTCGTAGCTGGTCGATCGAGAACTCCATGCTGCGTTTTAATAGTGGCTCGACGAACTTGTCCGTCCTTGGCAGGAAAAGTGTTGATCACGCGTCCTTTAAGCCATAGATTTCTAGGCAAGTTTTCATCGATGATTATGACCACGCTTCCAACTGATATTGGGGGACACTTTTCAAACCATTTAGTGCGTCTAGTGAGCACTGGTGTAAACTCCTTCACCCAGCGTTGCCAAAAGCGATCTCCAAAGAGTTTTACCTCGTTCCAATGACGTCTTAGGTTAATCTTCTCTTCCTTGATTGGCTTGTAACCGTTCGATGAACCCATTAGCAGGTGGTTCGGAGTCAACGCAGAGTCGTCCTCGGAGTCCAGGCTGACGAAAGTTAAGCGACGTGAGTTAATGATGAACTGTGCTTCCATTAGAGCACACCTCAGGCTTTCGTCGTTGAATGAGTAATTCGGGCAGATGTTTTTTAGGACTGTTTTTGTAGTCCGCACTAATCTTTCCCAAGCACCGCCCATATGGGGTGCTCCTGGAGGGTTAAATAGCCATTTAATGCCATCAAACTTGATTGCGATTTTATCAAAGTCGATCTTGATCAGCTCCTCTCGCAATGTCTTTTCAGTGGCCTTAAAATTAGTGCCATTATCGGAATAAATTTCTCTTGGTGTCCCACGAAGTGCCATGAAATTAGTGAAACACATCACACAGGAGCTTGTATCGAGGCTGTGAGCGATCTCAAAGTGGACTGCACGCAGGGTTAAGCAGGTAAACAGCGCAACCCATCTCTTCTCTTTCCGTCTTCCAACGTTGACTAGGATAGGCCCAAAATAATCGACGCCGGTGCACGTTAATGGTTTTTCAAAACTTGCCAACCTAGCTTTTGGAACCGCGGCCATTTGTGGAGGCTGTGGCGTTGCGCTACGATTTTTACATAATTGACAGGCTTTTCTTACGGATTTGTGTAGTACTCTTAGGCGCAGAATATAAAATTTGGATTTTATATCATTTATCACGGTTTCGTGAGCGAGGTGGTGATATTTTTCGTGATAGAAACGGACTAATAAGAACGTTACCCGACTCTCTGGTGGCAATATTATCGCGTCCAT